ACCACTGAAATCTACCTGATGACTTTATATCCATGCTCAGATGCCAAGGAGCTCAGAAAGTAACCGACTGTGACTATTAATAATCAGATATATAGAGATTAGAAACGCATGTGCAAACATCTTAATGTCAATTGCATTACAAATGAATTTTTCTGTATGAAACTGTGTATTATAATAATGCAATGGAGATCTTTTTTTATGTCTTATAGGGTTTATACTGAATACAATATTGTATAACTGTATTAATTTAACTGTAAACCTAAAAATTTACAGCCAGTTTTGAAAGAGAAGCATCTTAGCTCTGGAAATTGTTATTGAGTATGTCAATGCTGTTGTAATGAAATGCTTCTTCTAAGTATGTGGTTATTAAATAAATAATTTTTAAAAATGACATAGGGGGCTGGAAAGATGGCTCATCAGTTAAGAACACTGACTACTCTTGCAGAAGACCTAGGTTTGAATCCCAGCACCCACATGGCAGCTTATAACTGTCCATAACTCCAGTTCCAAGGGATCCAACAGCCTCTTCTGTCCTCCTCAGGCATTGTACAACATGGGTGCACTTACCTACATGCAGGCAATATACTCATAAAATAAAAATAATAAATATATTTATTTTAATGACATAGGAAGAGGTTATCAATAGGCCACTTAGGCAACCACACTTGATGTCCTGCAGTCAGCTCTACCTGTGCCTGCCCTTCAATCTTCATATCTAATTTTAATAAGGACTTACATATCTAATTTATCCCATGAACTCTATAATTCCTGTCATTATCTAGGCTCTATCTGTACACTTGTTTTGTGAGGTACTTTGTGCAAGTTCTTAAGATCTCATCTGAACTAACATTAAAGCCGCATCTTTACCCTGCAACTTGTCTAGTAATACATCTGTCTTCTTTTTCACTACACTCCTTCACTTACCAGACCTCATTTCACCAGATTGGTTAAAAAAAAAAAAAAAAAAAAAAAAAAAAGGTTTTTGCCCGGGCAGGGGGGCACACCCCTTTAATCCCAGCACTCGGGAGGCAGAGGCAGGCGGATCTCTGTGAGTTCAAGTCTAACCTGGTCTACATAGTGAGTTCCAGGACAGCTGGGGCTACAGGGAGACCCTGTCTCAAAAAGACAAAAAAACAAAAAGGCTTTTGTAATTCATTATACATCTCTCTTTATACTTATGCTCACTCACAATTTTTGGAAAATAATAAAATGGTTGTGGGATTTGTGAACTGACCTCAGGCATTTTAGGATCTAGTACTTGTCAGTTTCTTTTTGTAAATATTAGATGTAGGGTCTTTGCTTCCTTTCAGCCAGCTTCACTGCTAAGAGGCGTGACTGCAGGGAGAGCAAGGCAGCCCAATTCTCCTTCATAAAGATACTAAGTAGACACAAAGTAATTATATGGCCTGTTAGAAATTTTGTGACATTTTTGTTCTGTTCTCTAGTGTTATTCTGACTGTAGGGATAATCTTCCTTCTAGTTAGTTTACGCAGCAGTCTTTAGAGGACAAGGAGAACACAAAGACCTCTTTCCAGTAGAACTCTCTATGATGGTGGTCGTCTGCTATGTATCTATACATTATTCATTGTGGTAGCCAACGTCTTTGTGTGGCTTTGAGCATTAAAGTTAAAACATATAGATGCATATAGATCAATTATTATAGTGTTATAATGTGGTATTTTTGAATTAGGTGTGTATAATTTAAAAGACAACATGAATTTTGTTTTTCTGATCATATATGTATATTTCTGTTATTTTATCATTATAAAAATCTTTGCTAGCCGGGCATGGTGGCGCACGCCTTTAATCCCAGCACTTGGGACGCAGAGGCAGGTGGATCTCTGTGAGTTCAAGGCCAGCCTGGTCTACATAGTGAGTTCCAGGACAGCTGGGGCTACAGGGAGACCCTGTCTCAAAAAGACCAAAAAAAAAAAAAATCTTTGCTAATCTGTAATACAGTAGTAGGTATTTTTAAAGTTAATGAGATAAAAAATTATCAGTATTTAAAGTACCTCTATCTTTGTTTGCAAAGTACTGCTGTGTAAGTGTTTAACATCTTTTCAACAAATCCTCCTTTCCTGCTCCATGCAGAATTGGTTTTTTAACATATATATATATATATCTCCTTATGTGTGTAATGTTTGTCACATACTCATTGTCCAGTAGTTTTCTCTTATCCACAGATTAGCTTAGAACTTTGACAGTATAAGAGATTAACAGTAATAATAAAATAGTAAAATAGAATGATCAAAATTATATGCTGAAATAAAATTTCTAGCACTGCTACTTGTGGATGTGCTGGGCAGATGACTAATTCCACGTCCCTTGCAAATTGGAGTGAGATACCCAGAAGCTTGATCATGCTACTCAGGATGCTAGGCAATTTTAAACTTTTGTTTTTCTGGAATTTAGTATGTAGTATTTCGTAAAAGGTATCTTGAGTGCCCTTAAAGCATGCACTTAGCTTACTGTTTCCAATGCCTTGTACATTTCCCATGCCTTAGTAAATGTGAAAAGGTCCAGTTGGAAAAGAATGCTTTTAAAATACAATAGATAATCTCTGCATTGCAGATTAATTCCTAAATAAGGTTTACATTGTTCTTTTTACAAGAAAGTAATTGTATTTTATAGAATGCATTTTGACTCTATGCTTAACGTCATCAAATGTTAAGCAATTGCATTATTAGCATATAAATAAAGGATTGTTATAATAAGAGAAAAACGTATTATTCTTTTTCTGGGCTGGAGAGATGGCTCAGCAGTTAAGAGCACTGACTGCTCTTGCAGAGGACTCGGGATTAATTCCCAGCACCCACATGGTGGCTACGAACCATCCTTAACTATAGTTAAGGGAATCCAAGGGAATCCGAAGCCCTCTTCTGACCTCTGCAGCATCACACAACATGAGTGCACTCACATACATGCAGGCAATACACTCATACACATAAAATAATAAATAACATATTTTTAAAAAATTATTCTTTTTCTTAAATAGTCACTATAGATAAGCCTAAGAACGCAAGTTCAAAGAGAAATGTAAGAACTATGTATTTCTGAATATATTCCCTGTATAGAATTGATGAAACATTTTATCGGTGAGATTGTATTTCATTGTAATTTAGTCTACAATTGGTATTCAGTGTGATATTTTCTAAATAAGAGATTTTTCACCTTCGAAAACTAAGGAAAGAATTTTGGTGGATTTTCTGTGCCTCTGCTTTGGGGAAAGGCACACTTTTTCTATGGAAGACTGCGTAGTAACTCTGATAGGCTTTTGGGCCATAGATTCCAGGTAATAGCCACTCAACTCTGCCATAGTGTACATATCCACAGGTTAAAAAAACAAAGGACTAAATATGGACTGTACTATAGTCAAATTTTACAAAAATAGGCAGTAAGGTAGAGTAGGCCATCAGCCAGATTGACGAACTGTCTTTATAATTGGAATATGGTTGGGGGGAGGAGGGTGTATTAGAGAAATAGGTAGTCATGTTCAAGATTTTGTGACTTGAATAATTCTTTCCTTTGTTACAAAGTAGAGATAAGCATTCTTTTCCTTTTGTGCTCATCAGCATTGATTCCCTGGGCTTCTCCCAGTATATTCTTCATCTTCTATGCTTACATATTTTTAAATCCTCAGGAGAGAAGAAGGAGAAAAAGCAGCAGTCAGTAGCAGCCAGTGCTGACTCTAAGCCAGTAGATGTGTCGCGACTAGATCTTCGAATTGGTTGCATCATCACTGCCAAAAAACACCCTGATGCAGATTCTTTGTATGTAGAAGAAGTAGATGTTGGAGAAACAACCCCAAGAACGGTTGTCAGTGGACTGGTGAATCATGTTCCTCTAGAACAGGTAATCTGTTCCTCTAAAGTGATTGCTGCTTAACATGTGCCACTTTCTTTCCCCCTGGGCCCTCCCACATCAACTGTCAATCAAGAAAATGTCCCACAGACATAGACACAGGCCAGTCTGATGGAGGTAATTTCTTAATTGAAGTTCCTTTTTCCAAAGTGGTTCTAGTTTGTGTCAGGTTGACAAAAATTAACAAGCACAAAGGTATGTGAAGCTACCACAAACTTAAAGATTTATAAACTAAAATAAATTCATTAAGACAGAAAGAAGAAAGCATGTCCATTTTTCTTATTTTTTAAATATGTTTATGTGTGTGAGCATGTTCATGTATGTGAGTACAGTCATGCTTGTGCCACAGTGAGTGTGGAGGTCAGAGGACAACAACCTTGGGCATTAGCCCTTGCCCCCACCTACTATTTTACCATTGGGATAGCCTGATAGTGAATAGTTAGTTATACTTTGTCCTAATAAAACAAGAATGCTACTTGTTACTTCTATCTAAGGCATCATTTTCTTTTCTTATCTGGTGTTAATTTGAGATTTTATCCCTAATCTGGGTTTTTGTGTAGGGCTAGTTTCAGTGCTATCAGAACATAGTACAATACTGACCTGTCATCAAGAATACAAGGAAATAATCTCTTCCATTTCCAATTTCACACTCAATTTCTTTTAAATCTTTATACCTAATTTTCTGGATAAAGGTTGAATTTTGATTATTACATGAAAGAAATTTAATAGTGAGGAGGAACAGACTTTAAAATCTGAACTTCCCTCTACTTTGGTAATTTTGGCACCCAGGAATGTGGTTTTGAGTAGCCAGTTTGTAGAGAAGAAAAGTATAAGGGTAAAAGGGTTCCATCTACTTTAGTGCTAGTGCTAAGCTGAATGATTGTGTGTGTGTTATGATTTAGTCCTATTGCCAGCTCTTTAGTAAAGTTCAGTGTTAATTTGTTTATTTTTCAAGGAAATGAGAAGACCAACTTTAAACATTCCCATCGGTGGTAGATAGCAGCTTAAATTTCAAACCAGTCTGTTTTCACTCATTTATTCTTTCAATAAATAATTAAAAGACTTGTGCTATAGTGCCAATTTGAAGGATTTTCTTTTTGTGTTTATGCAAGATGTCAATCTTCATGTTCATGCAAGACTTTTTAACAAAAAATGATTTTAGATACATAGAGACAAAGCTATATCCCCAAAGGTAGCACATTCGATACAGTATGTGTGCTTGATTGTATTCTAGATGTGAGTATTCTACATTTCTGCATGTCTTTAGTCATCAGATTTTTTTCCATACAGATGCAAAATCGGATGGTGATTTTACTTTGTAATCTGAAACCTGCAAAAATGCGGGGGGTGCTTTCCCAAGCAATGGTGATGTGCGCTAGTTCACCAGAGAAGGTGGAGATTTTGGCTCCTCCTAACGGGTCTGTTCCTGGAGACAGAATTACTTTTGATGCTTTCCCTGGTAAGTACTAGTAATTATTTCAGCAGTTTGGAGATCAGTTGTCAAAATGATGTGTGTAGGCTTGGAGGCTGAAATCAGTCCTATGTGTTACTCACAAGGCTTTTCATAAATGACCATTATTGAGTGTTTTTGGATTGACTGAAGATGGCACAGTGGGCAGAACAACTTGCTGTCCATGATGGTACACATAACGCCAAATACTACAGAGAGATTTTGTACTGGGTAAAATACTGATTTAGTAGCTGCATAGCAGAACAGGGTGACATGACTATAGATCAGATTAATTTGCTGCAAAATCATTTAAGCTGAAAATCGTAATACAAAAAGATAACATAGAACTCTAGGTTTTAGTTTATATCATTTGGTTTCTGAAATAGAAATGTTCCTGAGAATGAAGCATCATACTGTGAGAAAAGTGGAGGGTTTCTTGTGTTAAATACATTTTGAGATAGCATCTCATCCAAGCCTGGCTTACCTTGAACTGTCAGCCCTGTGGCCTCCTCCTCCAAGGGCTGGAATTGAAGGCTTGAGTCACCATACTTAGCTTGAGAGAGTTTCATCAAATATGTCTTTGAAACAGAAGGAAGGGAGCTTGGCAGATGTAGAAATCAGTTATTTCATAAAAGGAGAGCATGTCATAAGAGGAGAAAGAAATTAGGAGACTTAATGTTAGGTGCAGAAGTCAAAATTAATTAGGGGACATTTGTTGAAATAAGTTTTAATGAAATAGCAAGACTGATGTGATTATGTAGCATTTTTAAATCCTATGGTAACCAGTAACATTAGGATACAAAGAGCTATAGTAGTGGAGCAATAAGATAGAAAATCTGGATGAACCCAGCTCCACCCTCCTACTGAAAAGTAAATGAATCTCAAAACAC